GTATAACGATAGAGTACTTTAATGAACATACTAAATCATTAAAGTCCTATGGAAACTGGATCAATTATAAAATTATTGATTTTTGAAATAGTCCGACCGGGTTGACATGTTTCGATTTCAATTATGTGTAATAAATCCACTTCGAATACTTTTAACTACTCATAAATTAATTTATCTATCATGGATTAAGTCGATTATTTCCAGAATCGGGAAGTTCATGTAACTTGCCTCAAGGCAAAATACCAATACCAACCAGTTCCATCATAGCTTTCATGTGTTTTATTTTCTCGCGTAAATTGAAAACGTGTCTTTCTGGCTGGTGAAAAACAGCCAACTAGCAAAAATAAAGAGATAGATATTCTTCAATATTTTTATTTGTTTCACTATTCATTCATTGATTGTATATGCTGGGACAACAGTATCAATTGTCAATTTTATATATAAAACATTTTTTTATGATTTATTTTCTCATGAGAAACAATTAATATTTTTATCAGATAGTTGCTTACTATTTTTATTTTCAAATAAATCAACTCCAACGAGCAATGTGCTGTTGATGTCATTTAAACTCCCGTAATGCTTTTGATCCAAAGCCGTTGGCTTGGCACGCTCGAGTATACGCCTGGACTGCCGACATCGCCACAACCGTCACCCCAAGAAGCAACTCCGTATTGGATACCATTAGCCACAAGAGGGCCTCCTGACGAATTAATAAAATATTATATTAGAGGTTCCAATTCAACCTGTAGATAATTGCGAACTTTGGAATGTTTCACTAATGAAATAAAATACATGTCTAACAGAGAATTAATTAGAAATGTACCTGAATCTCCTTGACAACAGTCTTTGCCGCCGTGCCATACGTCACCAGCACAAAACATTCTTGGTGTGATTTGGTTACCATAGAGGTCTAAACAATCGGCCCAAGATATGAAGGGCACTTGCACTGATTTCAGTGTATCCTCCACGTCCACGGTCTGAAATTTGTTTGGAAACGATTGTAATTATCATTACAATTTAAAAGTTATAAGCTTTTAAGTTTAACCTAGAGTTTTGGCTAAACTGATCATTTTTCGGTTATTGTAGTTAATTTTCATAATTTTTGTTTATTTAAACTTTGGAACCATAACCATAAAAGCATTTGTAAGACCACAGTCAAAAATAATGATACAATGCCCCAGGCCCAGGTTATTGGAGTTATGGCAATCTGTTGAACTACGAATTGAAAATTTTTAAAATTGACTTTGAAAGGCCGCACTAAAGTGCTTTAGCTAGTTCCAATAATTGTCCGCGCAATTAAGCAGGATTGCAAAATGGTTCATATTAATTTCAAACCAATAAATGAGTAAGAAAATAATTCCATGTTTATTAGAGCATTTTACTGGAACTTTTAATCAATTGTCTTTTTTATAAATGCACAGAATACATACACAAACACTCAGGCATTCACATAGAAACACACACACATTTTCCCTAATTTTGATGTCAAACGATTCAGAATATCAAGAAAATATAAAATTAACAACAAAACCATAAACTTTCTTTTCGCGAATTTTTATGCATGCATTTCATTTATCTATATTACCTCCGTTGTACCCCATCCAGACACAGTCAGTAATGTCCCAGGCGTTAATATGTCTCGTGCCTGGGCCAATATAATCGGCTTTATCTTTGTTGTGTATATGAGAGGTGTCGAAAGTTTTAAAATTGCATAATCGTAGTCAATGGTATATGGATCATATGAAGGGTGCGTGTAGAATTGTGACACTTTGTGAACCATTCCACCTTTGGAACTATACGAGCTCCCAGCACGCACCTTCAATTTTTTTGGCACCTGATCTCTGCAATGATAATTGAATAATTTATATAGAATATATTTATATAATCCCGACATCAGGCAGCTTTGATGTCGAATTTCCACTTGGGGTTGTAGATCACAATATAATTCCAAGTGAAAATCGTCCTTCGTGAAAATAGCTGCAACATCCAATTATATGTTAACTATTAGACGTAAGAGCTAATATCAAAAATATCCCACACATAAGAGAATGGTTAATCGATGGATTGCCTCTCATTAAATAAGTAGTCTTAAGTCGTTAACCAACAGCTTATAGAACATATAGGAGTTCTGATTGCTGTTCAAACAATAAAAAAAGAAAAATATTTATATAATATAAAATTTTAAAATAAAGTTATAAGATTCTGATATCTTGCTCGTTTTTTTTAAAATAAAAATAAAAATAAAATAATTATTCTTATCATATAATTTATATATACTCCATGCAATGTGCCGCCGTCAGGATCCATATCGTGTCAATAATAGAACCTCCACAAAGATCTTGCCCATATAACATAATCGACACCTGGTACGGAAATTGTTCAATCAAGGAGTAGGTGCCGCCTATAATTTTTCCTTGCTTCCCATCGCCTGATTTTGCAACTTCAGAAAATTAAAATGACGCCAAATTGAATTTTTGTTTGTTTTGAATGATTTAAAATAAAATATATATTTTATTGCTTTACTTACCTGGGTTGCACAGTGATATATCTATGAAGAAAATAATTAATGAGGCGATCAAATGAATTCTTTCGAACATTTTCAGTTATTAAAACGCCTATAATTGAGAAATGTGAAGTAGAAAAAACATCAAGCTGAACTATTATAAGCTTAATCTAATCTTTTTTAGCTGAAACGTGATTTTCATTTTATGGTCGTGTTTTAAAAAATTATGTTCGAATTGCATGGATTATTTATCACTTGGAAAGATTATGATTGAGTGATATAATACAAAATATATTTGCCGGTTTTTGTATCGATATATGATAAAATTAATTTTATTCGAGTTCTGTATCAGGAGCATTGTGGGAGCAACAATTTTTGTATCCAAAAAAGCTAAAATTTGTTATTCTGCACCTGCTTTTTTAACAATAAAAATGATAAATCCAATATAACTTGTAATGAACAATATATTTTTTATATGCAATAAGCTGTATGTTACAAATTATTTAAAAGATATCAATCCTAAATACTAAAATTTAAAATCAGTCACACATATAAAGATAACATAAAATATCAATATTTCTATTTCTCTATTAAAATAAATAAATCTTTATTCTAATTCTAAAACATCTGTTCTAATAATTTTCAAAATTAATATGATGAAGTATATTTTGATTTATTAAAAAGGTACATTTGGTATTAAATTAGTTTTTACACAATGTAAGCACAACCTCATTTTTTTGTAATAAAATGTAAAAATATTATCGAAGCTAGTGATAATTGTATACCTAAATTTACTTTAATATATATATATATATATAGGATTTTCTTTTACTGTGAACAATTTGTATCAGGGAACGTCGAGGCACTTTAAAATAAGTAAATGTTTACTAAACTGTAAGGTTTCAGATTATTTCTTATTATATTGTCCTTTATATTTTTCTCTTATCACGATAAACTATGTATTTGTATAAAGCAAGTAATAATTATTGAGAAAGGTTTAAAGGTGTTTGTCCTGATAATTGATTATGTTCTCGAAATAATATGCAAATCCTGCTATAACTTTAAGAGTAGTGAAAAAGACATCTTTCAATTTTCGCTAACGTTTGGTGTACTGGCAAGGAAGAGTAGTTTTACCAATAAATTAAAAATACATCACACCTATGCAAACTCAACATGATGTGTTAAACATTTACATCATCGTTTGTAAATAAAATAACAAACTTAAAAATATTATTAAGTTTTATTCCTCGTTTTGGAAGTGCTGCCATGAACTTCTGCGATTTCCACCTCAGGTGGGGTGCCTTGTGCACTGGCTTCTTCTTCTGCCATTTTCAAACCAATGGTTGCACCTATTTTTGCACTGGCCTGTCTGAAGCTGTCGCTTAGTTTTACTTGGACAACATTAATACACATAGATGTCAAAGCCAACCCGAACACCAAGTATACTATACTTGCCATCATATAAATGGGATGCTGAGGCACAAAATCACCAAAACCAATGGTAGACATCGATATGAATACGAAATAGAACGATTCGAAAAATCCCCAGTCTTCCCATATATAATAAATAGTAGCTCCTATGAAAATATAAACTAACAGTATAGAAATGGCGACTGATATCGGCAAATTAAATTCATCGTCTATTTCGAATGCGGACGGCGCCGGTGTTTGTGGCGTTTCTGCTCCTGCCGAAGGGGTAGTAAGATAAGGGGTCTGTGGCATTCCACTGGGGGCGGATTGCGATAGACGCATGCCACCAGAAGGCGCCAATTCTGGGTCGGTCATTGTCATATTGGGCCCGCTCGGTTGACTCGGACGCCTGAAATGTGCTAGGTCGTTGATCATATTGAAACCCTTCATAACCTCCTGAAAGAAATGGATAAAGATTTAGAATAATTTCTTTTTATAAGTTATAAAATGATTTTATAGAACTACAATAAATTTTTGTCTGACCTGAACAGGCGCTGTTCGTCGAACTTTTCTACACGACCCCGTGTAATATAATCTTCGTACAAAGGCCCACACAAACTTAATGCATCTCGTGAACAATTTACCAAAATCTGCTAGCAGAATGAGAAACATGGGTATGCCAATTATAGCGTACGCAATAGTTATGGCCCTGCCGGTTGTGGTCACAGGTGAAATATGGCCGTACCCTGCAATCAGAATATTCAGTTTGAATGAAATTAACATAGGGTTCTTCATATCAGTAGAAAAGACAGAAGATGATACAATATTTCATTAAACTAAAATTGTTTTAGGAAATCAATTTAATCATCGGCGATATTTATATAATTTAAATTGTATGTATTGTATTCAAAATGGTTAAATTAAATCGTATACATATATTGATATGAATATATACATATAGTGATATGAACTAGAAAAACGTGATATTGTACATTATCCAAACTATTCGATATCGAAAATTTTTTATTGTCATCAACGAAGTTACGCATGTGTTTTTGAAAATTGTACCAATGATCTTCTGAAAAAAATTGTAGCAGTTTGCGATAGGGAAAATATATCGTTTATTAAATTCATAATGTGTATTAAAGGATATGAGCGTGTTTCCATATAGAATTGGCCCCATCCTGGTATTTAAATGATTTTGATGCCATTTTATAGGTATTTTCGAGATCAAATTTCAAATCCGTAGCTTATAATTTGAACGAGATATCATTGAAAATATGTGATAGTGGCCCCTTAAACAACAATAACAAAAAATTATTTTCACTAAAAAATAATTATTAAACAATATTTGTTACTAATAATACAGTACACACCGTTCACTTTCACATATTTTCAATATCTCGGCCAAATGGATTTGAAATTTAGTATATCGGATTATCTCGAAAATACCTATAAAACGGCACCAAAAGCATTTAAATGCCAGGGTGGGGACAATTCTGGATGGAAACACACCTAAGCCCTTTATACTTGAATTTGCCTTTGTTTAATTAATATTTGTTCATAAAACTAGATATTGCAATAATGCCACACACTTTTCGGAACTTAGAAATGCAGTTTCGTTTGGTTTTCTGCAACTTGCTGAAACTCTGAAACGCTGCGCTCAAAATAATAACTAGCAGTATTTAAGTAAAAGGGTTAATAATTATGTTGCTGTAAGTAAAACAATCTCTTTAATTTGCTCTGTTTCTTTGTTTTTAAGTATTCTCAACTTATAACTAATAAAAGTGAAGTAAATTCTTTTCTTTTGAGCACCTATGGTGGTAACGACGGTCAGGCAGTAAACGACCCCGTTGAGAAAGCTCCATCCTCTCTGACCACTGTACGTCTTCATTCCGGCTTCGTGAGCAGTATGCAATTCTTCTTCGAAAGCTCGGAGCTTATGTCTCGCTTGCGATTTCCAATCTTCCTCCCTTAATCATATTAAATTTTTCCATTTACATTGGCAACAAACTTAATTAAATTGTACATTTACCTCATGTGCATACTAGTTTGCCACAACTGATCGATAAAATCTCGTTTTACCCTTTTCACACCACATTTGTAAAAGTTTTCAAATGCACCTTCTGTGAATTTGAATATCATGCCACCGCAACCACAAAATATCAACATAGCTATCATGTCCGATATGCATTTGTTTGTTAAACATCGTATCCGCCTGCATTCGGAGCTATGCGTCAGTTTAAAATGTTTCCATAATATTCTACTATCTCTTAATAAAAGTATGTAGCTGGATTTTTCAGAATCTTTCTTTGTAGGTATAATTTGTTTACCTGGCGATGTTTTTACAACATTAGTCGTTCTAATTTCGGCTTTAGTTTTTTCCGGTTCAATTTTTCTAATAATTGGATCCATTATTGCAGGGGTTATGTCGTCACTTTCACCAATTGAACAAGATTCGGTCGATGATTCGTAATTATCATTATAAACCATAGTTTTTTCTCCGGGCTTCGATATTTCTGTATTGTTATTTATTATTTCTTTTGATTTTGTTTTAACTTGTTTACTGGCGTTCACGTTTCTTTTTTCACTATTTCTAGACTTACTTAAAATTTTCGATTCGTGTACTAAATTTGGAGTAGATCTTTTATCAGAATTTGGTAGTTTAGCATTATCGATATCTCTAGGACTTGAAAGACTTCTTTTCGCAGCTTTGAGCAATTGAAATAATTCTGATTGTTGTTGGTTGTCAATAACTCTAGGATTTGACATGCTTCTTCTTTGAAGAATGGTTTTGTTTTTCTTTTCCAGTATTTTCCGTTTGTGATCGCTCGTGTTTCTGTCATCGTTAGTTTTTTCAATTGATTCGTTTTCCGAGTCTGAACATTTTGACAAGCGATTAATTCGTAGGTTTGGATCTGGAGTTTTGTCCCGTGGTAGTACTTTCTTTCGTCTTCTTGGAACTACGACCTCTGGGTCGTTTTTCTTTGAATCTTCCATATTCATTTTTAGTTTTAAAAAATCTACTCTAAACTAAATTAACCGCGAACTACATTCGTTATTAGCATAAAAACATGTAACCCATTTCATAAACAGAATCTGCTAGTCGCAGTATAACATCGCTTGTCAAATCACCCATATAATATAATTATGTAAAGTTATTAATGACACAGAACAGTTCGAAGAATTATATTCCATCGTGTAATTTCACTATTCATAGAATTATTTATGAATTTTCCATCACAAAAACTAATGCACTAGCGTTTTTCAATTGCGGCTCGGTAGATAGCTCCGATGTAAAAATATCTCGCCGCAGATGATATGGTAAATCTGCATATGTGCACGACCGGCAAAGGTATTTATAAAACCGACGTGGGCCTCTCTGAAAATAACGAGACTCGATGTCTAAGGCAATGACGGCCACACACATGTCAGTCACTACTTTTGTATTTCCATCTTTCTAGGCGAAATATATTCCGTACATACATTATGAAAGTTGCTCTTTTAAGAGGTATTCTGGTATAGAATTTGAACTAGGAGCGCATGGCATCGTGCCTTAAGGCAAATTGCTGTAACTTCCCGTACCGAAAACTAAATTATTAAAAAAAGCTTTCCAAAACTTTGAAATTTTGAAATTTTTGAAATTTTGGATAAATATTGACTTTTTGAAAAAAATGATTTTTT